AATATTTATTTATTTAATTTATATATAAATTTAATAAAATAGAAAATTTTTAGTTTGTATCTTTGATATTTGCTTTCTGAAGCCAGAATTATAATTTTGGTGAATAAAAGAAAAAATAATAAAATTGACTAAATAATTATCTTATTTGAATGAATTAGATTTATTAGAATTTTATATGATAATAAATAGTAGTAATAATTGAAAAAATGAAATAAATGCTACATTAATGTATATAACATTTTACATAAAATAAATGATATATCTTTAGAACTTCAATGAATTAAATGAATTTGAAAAATGGATACAATTATTTATTAGTGGCAATCTGCAAATTTTTCCAATTCATATGTAATATGGGTTGAATTAAAAAATAAGCCACATAACAATGAGTGAGTTTCAGACAGGACCAAGGAAAGGGCTGAGATTGAGATTTTATCATGGGCCCAGAGAAAACCTAGAGTCTCCCAATTGTTCCTCCTCTATAAACTTAATGTTATTTCTTACTAACAGAAGATAAAATCTTTAAGACTTTTGCTTTTTGTAATAATAATACTTGTATCTACAATCAAAATGTACACATGAAAGATTACAATGCAAAATTAAATTATTATTATTAGTCTATTATAATTAAAACTTACAGTTAAAATATTATCATAATTTCAATGATTTAACCATATAATTTTTCTAAATTTTCAACACACTTCAAAACTTTATATAAATTCATTACAATAAGCATTTTGAAATATTTGGTATTAAGTTTTTACTCATAACTGATGTTATACAAATAATGTTATTTATATATGCATAAGTTAATTATTATATTGAAAATTTGTGATCATTATCATTAATAATCAATATACAATACAATTATCAATACCATTAATAGTGATATTAATTATTATATATATATATAATATCATTAATAATACAAATTATTAAAATACCATATATAATTTAATAAATTGAATTATAATAATTATTTTTCAAAACTTATTAGAAATAGTGTTAAAAATGTTGGAGGAATCTGAATACTGTAAGTTTAACTGCTTTTAGAAATTTTTAAAAATAAATTTTCTTATTAATAAATAGAAAATTTATTAATAAAATATATCACAATAAAAGATGAGACAGTATTATCAATCTGAATAAAAAGATGCAATAATTCTAAAAATAAGAACATTTTAGATAAATAATTATAATCACAACATTTACAGAAAATTTTCCTTGAGGACAAAAAATTGGAGACAAATAATTATATCAATAAATTTTTATTTATTTAATTTTTTGGGGTTTTCCACAAGTAGATTATAGAATACAGTACTGCATCAAAACATCCATGGTCAAGGGTGTAAGGTTACATATCTCAATCATTGTTATGATTATAATTTGTAGAATTTTTTACTTGATTCCAGGGATGGGTAAATACCCTGTTTGCTCTCTCTACAGAGAGCCGTGATTATAATTAATTTTTTAAAATGTTTTTATTTAGTATTTGATTTTATTAAAATGTAATAAAGAATATTAATTAAAATTACTCACCCTGATTAGCTCGTTTGACTGTAATAAATAAATAAATTATAAATAATTAGTAATTAAAAACTTTATTTAACAAAAAAAATATATAAATAAAAATTTTATTATTCTATTTTTAATTTTTTGCAACTTATTGAGTTGCAAAAAATTAAACTATACAGTGTTATTTGATTTGTGGCATTTGTTTTATTTTATTAAATTTGTTTTTACAATTTTATTTAAAAATGTAATATATTGAAAGCCGTTTTTCCTTTGCATGGTTATTTTAAAAATATCAAAATTATTTTTTGTTTTGGTAACTTATTTGCTGTTTTATTTGCTTAAAAAATGAAATTTACATACATTCAACCTTTAATAACAAATATTTTTTGTTTTATTTGTATTATTTATCCTCTTTATCTTTTCATACATAGGTCAAATCTTGATTTGACCTATCATTACCATCTCTCTGAACAATAACCTTACTAAAAAGTAATTTGTAAAATATAGACATTAGAGTCATTTTAATTTATCCTACAAACTTGATACATTCAAAATAATAATTATTATTTTTTAGAGTATTTTTAACTTGATTTGAAAAAAGTTTTTAAATGTGATAAAAGCAATTAATTTAGAGTATATATATTATATGTATTTTTTGTTAAAAAATCAATTAAACATCAGCTTTTAGCATACGTGTTCATTTGATTAATTCCTTTCCTTTTTTTACTGTTTATATTATTGACATTACAATTATAATAAATATTATTTACTCATTCTAATTATATATATATATATTATAGTTATAAAGTTTATATTGTAGCCATAACAACTTTTCTCACTCTTAGGTCTTCCAATACAGATTAGAATCATTTGGTTTAAAATACAAGGCAATGAAATCTATTTGTTAACAATTCAAATTGTCCTTTGTATCCATGTGATACTCATTCAGCTTACTTGTTTTTTACTTTTTTGTTATCTTTAGTTTATAATTGTTTTTAGCAAGATTTGACATTGCAACACCATCTATTGTATTTTTAAACAGTTATTTTTAAACATTATCTTGATAGTTCTTTAACAGAAGTCTTAATCATCGTTTAAGATAGTAAAGCAACAACACAACCATTGAACAATGACAAACAGTGAACATAATATTTAAATCAGCTGGCCAGATAGCCAAGATAAGTAATGCATCATTAGCCTATTGCTCTTGAAACCCAGGATTTAATCCAGGTATTAAAAAAAAATTCACAAGAAGTTTTTGGATAAGGTCTGTTCCAGATATGTTGGGCCCATCTCTCACCAGCCAGTTGCCCTATTGTGGCCTGGCCAAATCCCTAACAGGTTTGCTAAAAAAATAAACCTCTTAGTTTTTTTTTTCTCTTTCTGTTCCATGGCAATATTTGTAAGTTATCTTTTAAGGCAGTTTCTAACATGGATGCCAATTTTAAAGGGCAAATATTTTTTGGGATCCAACTGGATTCTAGTCACATAGAGTTGACATCCATGCTCCCATATATTTTTAAGCTATTTTAAAAGATTTTTAAATATCATTTAAAAATATAAATGTTAAATTCAATAACAATATATAATTTTAGAATAAAATCATTATTAGATANTTACTACATGATACAACTCGTAGGTGTTTTTATACATGTATATTGTTGGAATAATTTATTAAATTAAAAATCAATTCGAAAAGAAACACATATTTTTTTTTTCACTAGAATTTCTCTCTAGAATAAAAGAATAAAATACATTTTATACTGATATTATTTAAACAAAATAATTATCTTTTCGCTATCTTCATCGGTCACTATATATATAATTAATTCGTCCTTAATTTAACACAGAATGGCTAAATTAATTCGAAGTTTTATGCTTAGAAATTAATGTTCTCGAAACATGAAAAAAAAGAAATTTATTAACAATTTTTTTATTTTTCAGGAGGACCTCATTTAGTAGCATCGTCGTCGGTTCAAGATTTATGCACCAATAACCATCAAAAACAAAGTGTATTCGCGCTGTGCGGCATGAATCATACTAGTAGCTTAGAACCTCTTATAAACAGCCGAAGTAAATCATCTTTGGATTCGGGATGACAGCGGAGAGTGTTTAATTATGGACACAAATAGTTAATACTTTCTGTGATGAATAATTGCCTTTATTCAACACAACAGCTTGTATATATGTGTAAAACACGTTATGTTGCTTGTTAAAACTTAAAGGCAATAATAAAAATAAAATATTAAAATAACATTTTTAATATTTAGTTTGACAATTCTCTTAACAGATTTACTGAATGATAACATTTATCTATTTGACATAATAGTAATTTCGATAGAGTTTACAGGCATATATTTAGAAAGGCAAACGTTTAAATATTTATGAGGTCTCTTCCTTATTTATTTGAACTATTTCACTTATAAACAATAATAATTTATTTTATTATTTTATTCTTCCAACTTTTAAGTATTTTTTAAAATAATATTTTCTATAAAATCAATTTCTTTTTAAACCCATTTATATGTAAAAAAAATTTTTTTTTACGCACCTTATATTTATGCAAGGGACTTTAATGTATTCTTTTATTTTTCTGAATATTTATAAAATTATATTTATTATTATTATTATTCACTTAAGTTCTTTTTTCATTTTTATATGTTTGTACTGAAATTTTTTTAAAGAAAATGAGTATAAGGAAGAGAGGGAGGAGTAAAATAACGAATAAACTGCAGGCAATTTTTCTACGAAACTTACTGGTTTCTACACAAAAGCCAAAAGAGTCGTCAAAGAGACAAACTGTATGATGGAAGAAACTCCCTCTCGCACACACATATATAAAGTCTACATGATAGATGTCACGGAAAGTAGCCATTTAAGCATCTACAACTTTCTGAAAGCGATGGTTTTGCCAGTGTTCTGTGAAAATCGGAAGCGATAATCGTATCTTTAATACACGCCTTGGACCGTTCGGAAAAGACTTATTAAGCTACGTAAACCTTCGAAAAACTCTCTTCTTCCCTTCTTCCTCCCCAACATCAGAAGCGAAGTAAGCCGGAATGGGTACAATTGATCCGATTGTATCGCTAGAGTGTGACCTTCGACTGTTGCGGTTAAACAGTGACGTCATATTCGATCGATCCCTTTTAGATTGTGGGAATGATTCACTTCGATGGGGAACCTCGTCTGATGCTCTTGGGAATGTCTGGATACTGATGAGAATAATAAATATTGTCTGGCTTTAATAACAAGAGGAAAATAAATCAAACAATTTAAATCCTTAATTGTAAACTGTTCTATAAACATAAACTTCTTCCGGGGTTAAAAAAAAAAATAGTTTAAGTTATATACGATGAATAATTGTTACAACTTCCATTTATCACTCGATCGTATACTTGTAGATGAGTAGTTTTAATTATATACAGAGTGGCTCTTACGCTTTGAATATTATCATTTGAATATGAGGCCCTAAACTGTACTCCATTGCATGAGAACTTTAAGCCCCTAGCTAAGTTCTTATGCTAGGGGGTACAGTTTAGAGCCTTATATTCAAATGATAAATACAATAGCCTGTATAAACCAATCAAAATCCGATCTTGATTTACGTAGATACAGTGTGTATATATATATATATGAAAAAATCAATTTAAAATATTACTTTTGAAATAAATTATATTTATAAAAGTAAATAGCGTTATAAATAAAAAAAAATTAAAAAAAAAAATGTTTCTTAACTTCGATTTGACACGGAAAATACGAAAAAAAGTTTCAAAATCGATCACGTGACGCGCGGCCTGTTTTCCTATTGGTAATTTTAAACGCTCACACATTTTATTATTCTACGGTATATTTTCAATTTACAAAACACATTAAATTTTAACGTAAAGATTAAAAACAGTAGTATAATTAATTGGCGTTAAGCGAGGTTAATGCACCATCCTACATAACATACCAAAGTTTAATGCAATTCAAAATACTGTATAAAAGACGGGGGCGACCGCTATTGGCGTAGGTTGAAGTCACGAAGTCATCGAAGCGGCGGTACCTCAAGCAGCAGTTTTTGGAGAATAACACGATAAGATGTCCACTCCAACTATCCAAGCTCATCTGTCGCCCGAATGGAAACTTCCTTTAGTTAAAAATTATCAAGAAGATAAACTAGAATTGGCTTTCCTGAAAGATAAAAACCCGCAATCGCACGATTTAATGATCATCGCCGCCGAAACGGGATTAGATATTCAGGAAGTTAAGGTAAAATTCTAAATAAAAAAAAGTTATTATATAATAATTATACAGAATTATTTAATTATTATATTTTAATAATGCAATGTTAGTCGTGGGATGTTTGTTTATATTAGTTTCTCCGAAAGAGGATCAACTGGAAATGTAGTTATTTTTAGTGCGGAGAATAATGAGCGTGCTTCGTGTTTCTTCGGATCAAAAGTAATTTTCTTTCTTAAAAAATAAAAGAAAAAGAAGAAGAAAAAAAATGATCGAGTTATTCAACCGATTGTTTACGTTTTAAGAAACTTTTCGTGTAAATTTTGACATCGCGTGGCCACATTTTCCAAATTATTTGATTGATGAAATGCGTTTTATATAGAGGAAATTAGATTCATACGTCCCACATTTAGTTTGTTTATTTTTCTTTTGAAAATATTTCTGATGGATGATGATGATGATGATGATGATCAATCCCAGATTTTTTACTTCTCTTAGCCTCATGTTTTAACATAATAACATATAAGAAGTCTCTCTCTTTTTTTCTTTTTTCTACCGAATAATAATGAATTTAATAACATGAGGTCCTACAATCTAACTCGCTTAGTTTATTCGACTCTTGATGATGATAAAATGTTCAGACATTTTCCAAATGATTTTATTGATAAAATGTATTTTAAAGAGCGGAAATTATATTTATATACCCTATATATTTAGTTTGTTTATTCTCCATTTGAAATCCCTTTGATGATTAATATTTATTATGGCCCTAAGATTTAACATTTAAAAGACCTTTTTCCTCCACCAAATAATGAATAAAATGTGAGTTAAAAAAAACTGAACCTTCGCAGTTTGAAGCATTAAGTGGTAGTTTAGTTTAAATGTAAATCCGGATTTGATGATGATGATGATGATAAAATATGGCCATATTTTCCATATTATTTTATTAATGAAACTTGTTTTTCAATAGTAGAAACTACCTTCGCACGTCCTATATTTAGTTTGTTTATTTTCCTTTTGAAATCCCTCGATAATTATGATTAGAAAATTTTTTAATTTTGGAAGTTTGAAGACGATTAAATTGATAGAAATAAGATAAGAATTATAATTTTTTTAAATGATTTTCGTTCACTCCAAACATAATATTATTTAAATATTATTCATATGCGACGAGTAATGATAGTGTTAAAAAATGGTTTCTGGGTGCATACATATACTAAAATTAGCATCGGATCCTCTTTATCATTTGACACGCATTTGATAGGTAAACTTGGAAAGTTGCCATTTTGGCACTTCTCTCCGATGTCATAATTGACTCGTCTAAATCAATGACTATGTTTGTCAATAACGATCAAGTTTCTCGATGATGGTCACTTATAGGAGGTCACAGCTGGATTTTTATTATCCCAATAACGGTGGAACCAACTGGAGAATTTCGTGGTAAAATTACAGAGAGAAGTCTCATATAATTTGATTGAATAGTCAGATAGAGATTGAAAACATTGAACTTGTGGAAGTTTAAAAATAGTGTCTATATTTATATATAGGGTAGACAAAAAGTGTGTTAACTACAATAAAAATTAAATCTGCAATTATATTTCTACATATTCTGAATTTTCTAAAAAAAAAAAAAAACACCTATTTACAAGTGTACAGACACAAAACACAGTTAACTGACTTTTGGAGCGCCTTAAATACAAGTAGACTTACATTGTGTTTTTAGTTAAAAAGTTACACAAAACTAGCAACGTCAAGAAAGATTTTGTAACTTTTTTTTTTTTTTTTTTTACAAAATATCTGAGTCATTTTATGATAAAATTTGTATATTTTCTATCTTTGTACTTCTATTTTCCTACTATTAACTTTATTCGTACAATAACGACAATTTTATCACGATCAATATATTCGTATTATGATTGCATCGTGAATGAATGCTTTCTACTATAATAATCGGTAGTTATATTGTTATTTTTAGCATTTAATATCGCAAAATTATACTGCTCACGGTTATGATTCTCGTGTCGAAATCAGGTAATAATCTTACATTTGTCGATAGAAAGAGATATGTGTAAAGATTTAGACACATATATCAGTTCAATGATCTTGCAGATGTAATAAAATAGTGAAGACAGACAAACGTTTCGTAACCGAACAATAAGTAACCTGTATATATATATATATGAAAAAATCAATTTAAAAAATTTTTTTCGATAAGGATGATGCGGGATAATAAAATTTCTGTTTCTGATAGTTGATGTTCATCTATAAAATTTTGGATTTAGATGAATGGTCAATGTACTCTTCTATATATAACTGTCACGGATCTATACAACCTTTAAACAGTATGCGGTTACAGAAATAATCAATTGAAAGAATATAATATTTCACTATTATTTTGATGTTATTGACGTAACAAATAGAAAATTTTAAATAAATTACGCTCGTCTTCGAAATGCATGATTGATAAATCTTTCTCTTCTTCGATTTATATAGATATTTAGTAATTTAAAAAATATATATATATATATTTTTCAGGTGTGGTTCGAACATAGATTGGCAAAATGGAGACAATCTCAGGGTCTGCCTGCTAATGGAAGTTTTGTTAATGCCTGACGTAAATTGTTATTCTCGTATAATAGAGAATATTGTTTTTTAAATTTATTATTATTATTAATAAAATTTTATAAGCTACATGCTAATTATAAATATAGTGTAAGTTATTTAAATTTATTGCTTAAAAGAGTTATATATCGAGACGGTAAAACAATGAGTATTGTATAGATCGTGATTTATATTTTTTTAATTGAAAATTTCACCAGAAAAAAGGTTAATAAAATTTATTATTTATTAAATAATCAAGATTGGTGTTTAATTTTAATAAAATGTGAATTTATTTTTTTTCCTTCATTTTTAAATCGAATATTATGATTTTTATATTTTATTGGCTCATTCAAACTTTTATATTATTATATGCCTTAAATTATCGAGATTGTACATAAATTATGGTTCTTATCAGTTAATATTGGAAACTTTTTATCAGTTTATGCTGAACATATTTGATATAATGAATTAATATTTTTATATTTCAATAAGAGATTCTTAAGTGACTTATTCTAAATGTAGAATTTAAATTTTATATATATATAAATAAATAAAAAAAAAAGATCAGGACAATGAACCTGTTCTAAATGTCCCTCCCTTTCATGTTTTGAATGGCATACAGATTAGTAATTATCTTTATTTTGTCACGAAATGTATAGACTGTATATATATATTTTATACAACACGCCTGAATTTATAAAGCTAATTTTTAAAATGTTTTATATTGTTAACTAATGAAAATATAATTTTTTAATTCGTTAAAAAGAAATGTTTTGGTGTTCTTAGAGACTCAAAAATAACAGAAATATGCAATTAATTATAGTTTAATTTCCAATTATATTTTTACAGCATAGAAGTAGAGAACAAAAAAGAAACTTGACTAATTTAATCTGAAGGTAGAAAATTCCAGTGAAATTCTTTTTGATTTATCTACAATAAAAATAAATATTATAATTTTAGAATTTTAAATTCAAGTAAAATATAAATTTATTCAAAAATATATTTTACAGAATAAAATATTAATTTAAAAACTTACTTTAAATCATCATACGTGGCATGACTGTTTAAAAAAAAATAATAATAATA